AATATTTTTTAGGTACTAACGATGATCATAGGAAGGTGAACGTGTGACTGTACACACTTATCAACATTATTGGAGTTCCACATTTATTATATTATTCTATTTTTTATGTAATTGTATTTTGAACAAATGAGTTTCTTAACTTGAGTTTTTGTGAAAATAGTGTTTTACCTCAATTAAAAATAAAAATTTTGGTTGTGAAAATGGGACTTTACACTAATACCATTTATCACTTTGATTGAAAAATCAAACATCTTTCATCAAGAATAAAAGTCGTAGAATGGTTTTCCTCTACTCTGACCCCGAGATTTAAACTCCAATCCTACCTCTAACCATCTCCAACCCTGACGGTCTATAACACGACAATTCTTGTCCCTTTCAAGAGAGAAAATGTAGGAAACATGTTTTTTAAGGGAACATCACCAACCCAAACCTCCTTCCAAAAGAGAATACTTGTACAATTACCCACCACATTTTGACGCGTGCCACGAATAGCATGCATTATGTTTATAGCTCTAATAATGTTTGACCAAACTCCTTTACCACCCAATAAGCCTCTCAAAGTCGAATCCCTACATAATCTTCATGTATCGACTTGATCAACTTCACCTAAAGAGCATCTTCAACATTGAAAAATCATTGTTTCCACTTTTGGATTAAAGCATGATTAAGAGCTAACAAATACCAATATAAAGCCTACCTTTAGTTTTTGACACAAGCACCATGCCCAATTTAATACTAGACATTTTTCGATCCTCGATATCACCACAAAAAAATAGCTTAGAATGCTTCTAAGAATTTAGAAACTGAAATTGGCATAAAAATGACATATACAAGTGAAGATAGTGGTTGTCGTTGAACCCTCTGAATTCGCTAAACCCGCTGATCCTAAGGTGGACGAAGTAGTGTTCTCACTGAGCTCGTCCAAGTCGTCTCCCTCTCAACCCTTCATCATCATATCCTTTGCTTCAAACCTCAAACAATTTGTATAACTCATCCTAGACACTCTTTTCAGATTCGGTACCGGGAAAGTAGGGGTGGTGTAGTGGTCGGTGCTAGAGTGTTACCATAATGAAACTGTCTCCTATCCCTGATTGACTCCGTTTACTCTAACAAGTTCCAAATAAAACCAACATTCAGCTTAAGTAATTTATTGAAGACAAATATCAATGGTTTAAGAAAGAAATAATTAAGTGGCTTTTTTGAAAGTGCAAACACCATATTTCTTTTTGCCTAAACTTTTCATTAAGAAAGATACTATTTGTTAACTTTGGGAAAAAAATCTTATTGAAATGATGAAATTTCCAACAAAACACACATTTGTTTGTGATGGATACTAATGATTTGACGTTAATTGTTTTCATTGATTATACATGAGTTTTGCCATAAAAAACATTTTTAACATTATTTTCTGTAGTTAACTCAATTGTTGTCTAACAATAAATGTAATAATTTTCATTTTGAAACCTGTATTAAATAAATACAACAATTTTTATCTTTTGTAATAAAATTATTTAGAATTTATAGGACACTCGTTTTTCGTTTTTATTATGTAAATATTTTGATGGATTAACTAAATTAATTAAATATTTTTGAAAATCGAAACCATATCTTATCTAAAAATATTAAAGAGTTTTACACAAATTGCAAATATTTATATCAATTACTTTTGTAGAAAAAGGAAATATTTTAGTCGACCACCACCATCCGTTTGCAGTTTGCACCAAATAGTATCCGGATCACACAAGGTTTCTGTAACGATATATCAGCCGTCCGATCAAAACTCGGTTTTATAATACCACCGATCCTTTAAACGCTTCGATCTCACGCAGAAACGCATACACACACTCTTCTGAAAACCTATCTTTTCTTTCTCTCGAAACAGCAAAGAGAGAAACGCAACGCAACCATGGCGGCAACTGTAACAAGTGCGTGGGCGAAACCAGGCGCCTGGGCTCTGGACTCCGAGGAGCACGAAGACGAGCTTAAACAAGAACAAACCCATGCCAACACCAACGACCGTGCTGCGGCGGCGGCGATGTCTGATTTCCCTGACCTGATGACGGCCGCAGCCACCAAAACGAAGAAGAAGAAGGGCCAGACTTTATCTCTTGGCGAGTTTGTAACTGGGTCGACGAATAAGCCTTCCGGTCAGACATATCAGGCGGCGAAGGGGTTAACCGCTGAGGACATGATGATGCTTCCTACCGGTCCACGCCAACGGACTGCTGAGGAATTGGACCGGACTAGGTTAGGCGGTGGGTTTAGATCTTACGGTGGTGATAGGAACAGCGATTCGTCGAATTCGAGATGGGGTTCGGGTAGGGTTAACGGCGGTGGTGGTGATGAGGGTCGTAAATCGACTAGGGAACCTTTGGGTCCTTCACGTGCCGATGAGATTGACGACTGGGGGGCAGCGAAGAAATCAACGATTGGCGGTGGTGGTGGATTTGAGAGAAGGGAGAGAGGAGGAGGAGGAGGCGGGTTTTTTGAGGGCTCGCATTCCCGTGCTGATGAATCAGACAGTTGGGCATCAAACAAGAGCTATACTCCATCAGAAGGGCGTAGGAATGGTGGGGGATTTGACAGGGAGAGAAGAATGGGGTTTGAATCGAGTGGCGATGCTGATACTTCTGATAATTGGGGTAGGAAGAAAGAAGTTGAAACCCGTAGATTCGGTGGTGGTGGTGGTGGGAATGCGTTTGATAGTTTAAGAGATCGCCGAGGTGGTATCGACTCTTCTGATTCAGACACTTGGGGGAAAAAGAGGGAGGAAGTGAGCAGCGGCGGTGGTGGTGGGAGTATGAGTAGACCCAAGCTTAATTTGCAGCCTAGAAAGTTGCCGGTGGGAGACGTTGTTGACACTGTGGGAGCTGTGAAACCAAAAGGTTCAAACCCATTTGGGGATGCACGTCCAAGAGAACAGGTGTTGAAGGAAAAGGGTGAAGACTGGAAGGAGATGGATGAAAAGCTCGAAGCCATGAAAATTAAAGAATTAGGTTCTGGAGATAGAATGAAAAGAGGCATCGGAAGGGCAAGATCCAATGAAGATTCAACTGAGAGGAGCTGGAGAAAGGACCAAACCAATGATGCTCCTCCTCCAAGGTTTGATAATATAATTACTCTACATTAAACACCAAATTACCTTCACTGATTTGTTTATTATAGCTTCTTATTTATAATTCTTCAAAAATCTACCTAATTTTAACCATGTCATTCAAATACAAATACAAAGCAAGTTGTACTGATAGAAAAAGTAACAATGGGATGATATAATACACACAATTAATGGAAGTACATTGCACTTAAACCTTAATCTATTCGTCTTATTTTGTGGTTATGACTTGTTATGTATCTAATATGTCTTGTTTGTTCTTGTGAATTGCATTATTACATTTTAAAATCTGTTTATAGTATGGCATTGAGTTGAATTTGTGCCCTTTTGAGGTATTGTTAGATACTTAAACATTGGTAAAATGTATACATCATACAAGGAAATGGACACAAAGAAGTCTATACATAATGCATAGTTTTTTATTATAAGGTAATGATGTTTTAAGCAAGAAGCATTTGTTGGCAGCACTATTAATAAATGTGGGACATAAAAAGATGTATTTTGGTGTTGTAACTAAAGGCTGTTGTGTTAATCCATATATTCTTTTTCAAGGGCCATTCGTTTGGATATTTCTATAAATGTTGGGTTTTTATATCTTTAAAACATTATATATGGTCCTTTGTTATTGTGAAAGTACATTGGGAAGAAGTAAAAAATGCCAAGAATGATTGGATGCTTTTGCAATTTAATAAATTAAATTGTATATCTTATGCCATTTTCTTTGTTTTCTTGTTGTTTCCACTTACATGAAGTGAAGTAACTGGCAAAATCAGTTGATTGGTTATTAAATTTTTATGGTTCTTTTGATTGGTTGCTTGAACCAAAAAGAAAAATGATCTAATTATTCTTGGGATCTTCTTATTATGTAGGAAATAAAGAAACTACTAACCTATGAACTTGTATATCAGTTTTGTTTTTGTCTTTAAATGTCAACTTGTTTTTGTAATTATAACAGTTAATTGTACCTTTTGATTTAATAATCATTTCTTAAAATGAGCTGTCTTTATAAACCATGATTGGAATTGGAAGTATGATGTCTAAATGAGAAATTGTAAGCCTTGTTTCCTTTTTCTATTAAATACTGCCTTGGATAAATGAGATTAAAGAATACATATGTGAAAAAGAGAGCATAGGGGTAGTTTTGTAAAAAGTTTGTACTTAATGGCATACTTGCATACTGTTTGATGATGTGTTTGTTATGTGTAGTGGTGAGACAACTGAAAATGGACATACTGAAGAACCTGTAGAAGAAGAAGTAGGAGGAGAAGAAGAAGATGCACAGAAGTGATTTGAGATAAAGAAGAAGAAGAAGAAGAAGAAGAAGAAGATATAATGGGGGGATTGATGGCAAGTTTTGTGTTCTATTTTTCCATGTTTTTGTTGCTACTGTTACAAGTTTTGATAGACTTCTTGATGAGTAGAGTGATTTTTGTAGGACTAAATGCATACTTTGTGTTAATTTATTATCATTGTTACTATGTTCCTCTTTATCAGTTTTGTTCTTTTTTTTATTCAGACATGAGTGCATGTATTCACAACTTAATATTTATTAAGAGCAACTATATATTTATATATTTGAGACATCCACAAAGACTTAAAACTTTTTTGGTGGCATGACAATTAACATGGCATAAGTTTAGTTGAACAACAAGCATTTTATCGTTGATGTCTCTTGGGTCAATTGAATTTTAAGTAGGTATTATTAGTATAATAATATCATATTTATTTATGGGTCAAAGATGGAAAATGTTCAAATTTGTTACAAAGATTATGAATCTTTAAAACAACACACACACAAAGAAGGCTCATCCTTTTATGTTCTTACTTATTACTTGTCAATCATCTCCTTTTATTTGTTAACTTGTTATTTATTGTGGGCGGTTGAGACTTCCAATGCACCACCCCCCTTTCTCCTTTATGATGGTTTGTACCTTAGGCTTCAGAGGTTGTATGTTAGCTTGGATACCCCTATATTTCAAACCTAGATAGAAAAGTGCTCTTTTTCTTTATTAGCTAGACTAGATTGTAGTTTGAATAGTAGTTTGTGAATGTGTTGTTTTTGGTGTTGCAAATTAAAATGTGGATGGATTGGCTAAGCATTTACATTGGTGTGGTGGTGATAAGTGTTGTGTTGGTAAGTGCAAGTGATGTGTGTCATGGAGAAACAATGGTGAGTGGGAGGGTGTTTTGCGATCAGTGCAAAGATGGTGAGATTAATCATCTTGATTATCCTCTTGGAGGTGAGTTATACTTACTAGATCAAATCTACACAAGGGTAAATTCGTTATTATTTTAGTTAATTTGACTTTTTATTTTTCAATTTATAATAGTAATAGTTATTTATTGTTATTGAGAGTTGAGATAGCCTATTTAGGTTTTAAATAAGAAATAGCTTTTCTATACATCATTTCTCCACATAAAAACAGGAGGAAAAAAAAAAAAAAACTCGAAATTTGTTAAGCAACCTAATGATTTATGGACGATTAACAAATAAATGGTTAATGTTATAGATGGGTAAAAATCTTTTTTTTTTAAACAAAGCATTATTGTTTTCTTTAAATAACAAAATTATATAACAAATTATTATTATTTTTTTATCATAAAATACCATTAATATAAATAATATAAAAATGACACTTTACAAAGTGAGAAAAAATATTTAAGATAATAAAATGACACTTTTACAAAGTAAAATGAAAAAGTTAGTGACATCTATAAAAGTAAAAAATTGGCAAATACTCATATTTTGTGGATTACTAATAGATTTGATGTCATTAATTTTTTCTTTTGCTTCGTAAAATATGATTTCATTATTTTAAATATTTTTATTTTTATCTCATCGTATAACATTTGATGATATCAAAATTGTTTGTTTGTTTTGTATTTTGTATTGTGAGTTAAGGTTTTTATTTTTTTTGATCTATTTTGAATGCTTTGAGGAATATGTCATCTCCTTCACACGTTCCGATATTTTATCTATTTGAGACATCTCAAAGAATTACTTTTGTGAATTAAATCTCTAAGATTGTTTGTTTCGTTTTAAGGTTGTTCTTTTTTCTTTTTGTTTTCATATTGCTTTTTTTCTTTCCCACGGACTTCAACTACATCATCTTCAATGTTGATGCATATAATGATATTGTATAGTTCCATGAGGTAGTTTTCTTCTTCTCTTGAGCATGATCTGTACCCCCCCCCCCCCCCCCCCCCCCCCCCCCAATACACACATGCACAAACACACTCTTTTTCAATTTAGGTTCATCCTTAAGAATTGTCCATGCCTGCTCATATCTAAATGGTTTTTTGTATATAGAATAAACAATTTTCTTGTAACATCCTTTACTTGGTCATCATATCAGTCACCATGATATTGTTTTTGTACTTCAATATTTAAATAAGTGTAAAACATGTGTATTACACGGTTGATTAAAAAAAATTAAATATCAAAAAGTAAACAATAAGTTTTTTTTTTTTTTTTTTAAATAAAACTTTGAAATAAGGAATGAAAAAACTTATTAATTGAAATTTACTAGTCAATAAGTATTGTTTTTGTACTTCAATATTTAATCTGATTAAATTCATTAATAGAAGCAATTATTTGGTACCAAGCCCATTCACTTGTTTTTTCCTTTTTTTTTTTTACGTTCTTGGAAGAGCAAATTTTCTAAAATCATTATAGCATTTAGTAATATGTAACAACGAAAAACCGTTACTCATAACTGCATCTTCCTTCAATCTAAATAGTTTGATTGGATAATGAATCGGCATTTCTAATGAATACTTCTTTATCCATTAAAAACCTCCGCCTAAAGATGTTCAGTGGGAAAACAGTTGATTTGAAAAGTAATCACCAACAAGATGACAATGGCCCTCTTTACGACCTCGATGAATATATTATTTTTTCGTGGTCATCAACTAGAACGTTTGCTTCATCTCGAGCTTCTTTATTTGTAATCATCAACAAATTTTCATGGGTATCATCTATAAGTTCATCGATGATGAAACTTATTCACTTGTACGATAAGATACTCAACGACATTGTCGAACATAGCTGGAAACATTGTATGCTTTTTATATGGGGAGAGAATAATTTTTTATACAAGTTATAAGTGGTGTCTTTAATAGACAATTGATGCCAAAAATGAAACTAAAAAATAACTTATAAAAATGATAAATTCTTCACATAATGTAGTTAAGAAAATAATAAAAGACTATGTAACCATAATATATATATATATATATTAAAAGTTTTGACATCTATTTGAAAATTATACAACTTTTTCAAAAAAATAAATTATTTTGTTTATTAATTCAGTTAAGTAGTTAAATATAAACTCTAAACTTTATTTAATATCTAAATTAATTAAGATACAAAATAAAATATTACTAAATATAGAGATAAAATGTGAAAAGGCAAAAAGAAAATCACAACATTACCAAAAAAATAAATATTTTGAATGACCTTTCAAACAATAAGTTTTATTTTCCAATAGTAAAAGAATTCCAAAAACTTTAAAAATCTATTAGAATGCTCTAAGTAAAAAACTATTAAATTTTAATCATAAAAAACCATTTAAATTATTAAATATTGGTATTTTATGAATATAAAGTTTCAATGCTTTTTTATAGTATTTTTTAAAACAAAAGTGTTTATTAAAAAATATTGGTTACCTACTTATTATATTAAATATAAAAAATATATAAGAAATACAATTTGTGTCGAATTTTAACTTATACCAGATACGCTATCAAATAACCGTTTCATTTATTTTTTTTAAAGTGTGATTTAATTTCTCAAAGTATATTTTAAATATTATTTATTTTGGGCAATCCAGCGTAAAGAAGAAAAAAAAGTCTATCGACAATGTTAAGAAATACTTTAGAGTTTAAGGACTAAATATGAAATTTTTGTATATTGTAGGAGTAAGAGTATTATTGGCTTGCCCGGGGGAGCATGGGCAGTTCACAGTCTTGACGGAAGAAACTACAAATTGGCTTGGGACCTACACAATCAAATTTAGAGGTCCGGTGGACATGAGTGGTTGTCGGGCTCAGGTTTCCGGCGACGGCCAGGGCTGTGCTGCAGAAGCCGGCCCTGCTCAAGATTTCAGACTTACGTTTAAGATGTTTGATACTGAAATTTACACGGTGGATACTTTGGTCAGTCAACCTGTCACGCCGTCCCCCTTCTGCCCTCGATACTCACCGCAACCGCCACTATTGCCTCCTCCGTTCGACTTTCCTCCTAACTATCCGCCTCCTGAATTGCCTCCATTGCCTCCTTTCCCACCACTGATGGAGCCCCCCTTGCCTCCTCCTCCAGATAACTTTCCACCTAACTATCCGCCGTCGGTGCACCATCCTGAATTGCCTCCACCACGACCGTTAACTCCACGGGTGCGCTGGCTACCATTGCCTCCGTTACCGGCACTGCCGCCGTTGCCTGAATTGCCACCGTTGCCTGCACTGCCACCATTTCCTAATATACCTCCATTGTTGCAATTTCCACCGACATTTCCACCGTTACCCGCATTACCGCCTTTACCAGCACTACCGCCGTTGCCTGCACTGCCTCCGTTGCCTGCTTTGCCACCGTTTCCTACACTACCACCATGGCCTGAACTACCACCAATGCATGAGTCGCCTCCATTGTTGTCCTTTCCACCGACACAACCACCAGCCCCTGAACGACGTCCACGGTGGTCTGCACTGCCACCATTGCATGAGCCACCTCCGTTTCTTTCCTGGCCTCCGACACAATCGCCGGTACCTGAACGACGACCACGCCGATCTTCATTGCCGCCATTACAAGAGTCACCTCCATTTATGTCCTTTCCACCGATACAGCCGCCAGTACCTACCCGACCACGGTGGTCCGCATTGCCACCACTGCTTGAGTTGCCTCCATTGCAGCCTTTGCCTCCGCCACTGCCTCCACTGCCTGCATTACCGCCATTGCCTGAGTTACCTCCGTTGCCTCCCATGCTAGCCAAGCCGTTCTTTGAAGCTTCAGCTTGTTCATACCAGTAAGTTAAATTATATATTAATTTGGTGAATGAAATCTAAACTCCATTTTTAGATAATCGCTTATCTATTTTGTAACATTTTATGTTAGGATGTGGATGATGCCCCAACACAAATGCTACTGGAAAGTGATGAACCCAGACCTAAAAGTAGAACTTGTGTTTGGGCCATTGGCTTCAATAAGATATGGCAGAAACATGACGATATATGAAAGCATGTATGGAAGACGAGATCCTTATCGGACACTTTTAAGGGAGGGAACGACTGCTCTGTTGAATTCTTATAGTAGCATCGTGTTTGCCTATGAACCTCATGATATCGTCCAACGGCTAAATTTAGCGCTCATGGAAGAGACTATAGAACAAGTTCTTGCAGCTGCTAAACGCTTCATGAAGGCAAATTCTGGAGCAACCGGGAATGTTACATGCAAATTTACAGCATGCACATGAATATGATCAGAAACTTAACGAACTATATATTGATTCAACCATTGCTTGATCCTATCAACGGTTTTGCTTGCAATGATCAATATGACTATGATTAGATGATAAACGTTTATTGGGATTGAGAATGGATCATGTATTTTGGAAAACATTTCGTTTGGATTTTTAGAATTCATAGGAAACAACTTGTCTAGCCTAGCTAGGGTAATTATACTTAGGTGTTGTGTTTTTTTTACTTTATAATGGGAATATGACTAAGCATTCACATACATATTAAGATTGTATCTACCAATACGGTAATATAAGTGACTATATACGTTGGAATCACCATTCTCTCTATAAGGGCTTTTTTTTTTTTTTTTTTTATTTTTTTTATTTTTTTATTTTTTTATAGAGAATCTTGGGTTCCACATATATTTAAGGGTTTTTTTTAGAGACAATCTTGGGTTCCACATATATTTATATGGTATCAGAACACGTCCATGTTTATCTTCATCGAGCCTCCAACTCTAAGAGAGAGTGTTAGTGTATCCCACATCGGTGCAACATGGTAATGTTGGAATCCCCCTTCTCTTCACAAATGCTATTTTGGAGAGACAATCTTAAATTCCACATATATTTACACGTACATCCATCCATACATGCATATATAGACACATACATACACTTCAAATATTAAAAAAATCTTGAAACAACTTTAAACAAGAACATAAACAATTACCGAATATTTTGAAGAAAGTATTTACAAACAACAAATCTAAGCAAAGTAAATCATAAGATACACCGATCAAAGAGAATTACAAACAAAACTATACACAATATTGTTAGTACATTTGGGTTTAGGTCCAAGGCTATTATGGATTAGGTTAGGTCATTTTTGTATCCTTATTTATTTGAGGTTTAATTCTTACTATTAAATATTAATCAAACAATCTATTTTCTTACATGATACTAAATCTTTATATTAAAACTCTACTGCTGATCACAACTCGCAACCGTTCTCCTCCACCCTAACGACCTCTAATAGTCATAGGAGGTGCCTTCTCTGTCTAATTTCCCCTTCTCAAATCTCATCTCCTCTTTTTCCTCCTAAAAAAATATCTCTTATATGAACAGTTGACGTTGCCTTTGCTGCCTTCTTTGATGTATTTTAGTGTCGTCTTCACCGGATATCAATTTCCCCTGTCGCCGTTGCATCTAGCTCTAACCGCTAACGTTATCATCATCGCCGTTGTCTCAAGATCTATCTGTCACCACATGTAGATCCAGTCGATACCGCCGATGCATACGATTCTTGATCTCAATCAGCTTCCCTCTTTTTCATTTTTTTTTTTACTTTTTTTATTTTTAATCTTCATCTATGTTTTATGTTTCATGATTTTGTTTTTCCAGTTTAATCGTCCTCCCTATCAAACTGCATGGGGGAGGGATGTTAGTACATTTGGGTTTAGGTCTAATGCCATTAGTGTAACGTCCGGGTTTCAGGGCTAAGCATTTTTTACAATGTAATAGTCTAGGTCAACTATTGTAACTCTTTTTGAAGTAATAAAAATAAAATATTTGAGTATTATGTGAAATTATGTGTATTTATGTGCTCATTATTTAATTATAAATGTATAATTAATAAATAATAAAAATAAGCGTCAAAATTAAAGTGTGAGATAAGTCTGATATCTTTATATAAAGTCGTAGTGGTCGAAACAAGGATTTCGGGGATATAAAGAACGCCGAAATCCGAGTTATAACGAAGAAGTTATGACCCGTTGAAGTTTCGCGACGGAACCGACACGATACCGGGAAGCGTAAACAGTGAATTTACGATAGATCAAGATTTAGCCTTAGCAATCTAAACTAAAGCCGTAGAATGCATTAAACCGATAGTGTCCATAAAAAGAACGCCCAAATCTGACTTCGTATGAGGAAGTTATGATTTTTCGAAGTTTCGGCTTAGCAGTGTACAACCCGAAATCCGAATAATAGAACGAGCGGTTTTTATCCGACACGACCTAAATGAGAATCGAAGATCTCGTTAAGAGTAGCGTAACGAGAAAAAGATGGGAAAAAACGGACGTCGGATGAAGAAGTTATGAATTTTTAACGGACCAATCACGTTCCGGCCTGTTAATAATATAACTTTTAAAATAAAGTCAAAATTAGCTGACGGAGTCTAAATGAAAATTGTAGAGTACGTTCCCACCTTTGCGTGGATATAAAAAACGTCAAAAACGGAGCTCATATGCGAGAATTATGAATTTTAGAAGTCAGAGTAGAAAATCACGAATCTGGTGCGAAGTTGATGACGTGACAGCATCCGGACCATCGCTTGCTGATCACGCCTCGCTTCGGATTTGCGACACGTCGCCTTTCGCTACGCCCCGCATCCGAAGGAGTTATGCCCCACGTAACTTCGCGTCTGATCCATCCTATGTTGCGAGCCAGCTGTGCAGCGCTGACAATCTTATCCGAGGACTACGCCCCACGTAGCCTCCCTACGCCCAGCGTAACCGAGGCTGCTGGCGCCTATATAAGAGGTCCGAACTCTTCCGAATTTCTCACACCTTTCTCAAATCTCTCTCTCTCTAAACTTTCTCTCTCTAAGGGTTTTAACCCTCCCATAAGCCTAGGTGATCCCCTAGCACCCTAAGGAAGCCCCAAGGCTCCCGGAGTCCCGAGAAAAAAAGTATTTCGGTTTCGAAACGCTGCTCCAAATAAAACCCGGTTTTCTTTAAAATCCGCTGTAAGTGAGCTATGCTTACGTAATTTTTAATATAGCTTTCAAATAATTATAGTAATGTTATTAGGTCCTTAAAATAATTATTTGGGCTATTATTATGAGTTATATTGAGTGTTATTTAACGCTTATATAATAATAATAATAATAGCTAGACTATTAATTAGTCACGGTTGACATTAGACTAAACCCTAGTGGAATTGATACTAGGTTTTATCGAAGAAAATTGTTTTGAGAGTATCGAAGCGTTGTACGAGTGCTGAGTCACCACCTTTCAGGTGAGTGTGTAGTTACTATCATCTTACACATAGATATGAAGTATTTTATATATTACGTGCTATGTGTGCATAATTATCTGTATACTCGCTATCTATGTTGGATGAATGTTTTTATAGAAGTTTTAAATGATTTAAACTGTATATGTATTTTATATCTACAAAAATGTTGGGGTGAAACATGGGTAGATGTAATAAGACGATGTGTGATAAAATGATGAGAGGCCTCGATGTTGTTGTTGTTGATTCAACCATCTAGCGGAGTATAGATGATGACCACAGACTTTTCTAGACAGTCCAGTGGAACGCTGGCAGGCTCGCAACATGTAGGTGTTTGTGAACGATGTGTTCACCAGTGTACTCCATCCCCCACATGGTTGCCTTTAGGACATTTATTGCTGAGGAACCCCCCTTAGCAGTAGTGTCCATCCCGATGATGATCCTTAGGATAGGTCACTTAGGATAGGTGTTTAGGGACGTAATGTGAGGATAACGGGAATGGGTAATCGGGTTATTGTTGATTGATGAAATTAATAAACTATTTATTGTGGGTTGAAAACCCTATGTGCTCCCCAGGCTCCCAAGCATGACCCACTCAGTTTTATGTATTACAGGTAGTGACACTCGAGCATAGTTGTGATGTGTTGGGATGAGAGATTACGGATATAGGTCTGTAGATATGAAATAATGTAGTAAGGCTTATATTGTATTGTTTATACTTATGTACTGTATCGAACATGACATCCCGAGTCTTTTAATGAAATACATTTCTAAGGAAATGATTTTAATAACTCTTTATCATATTATTGTTTTGGGACAAATTCCGCAACTCTTTTATTAAAAGGTTACTCTGATTTTGAAATAAACTATAAACAAAAACCGGTCTTTTCTGGCCGTGATTTTTGGGATGTCACAGTTGGTATCAGAGCATTAGTTTAAGTGAACTAGGAATTTGTAAGATTTCTAGACTTAAACTTAGAATGCTAAGCAATGATTGTGTGGTGTGAGCACTAGCTTATTTTAGGAATTATGCCTAAAATGCTTTTATGTGCTAAATGCTTTGTGCCTGATATGTTGTTAATTGTTCAGATCTATGGTCTGTTGCCGACCGGATCTGGAAACCTTATGTGTTTAGGATTCTAAACGTATGACTACGATATTAGAACTAGCATGTAAACGTTTCGGAGAGATAAGGATGATTTAAACATCAATCCTAAATAAAGATCTAAATTCACCTTATTCAGTGTATAGGTCAAGATGGCAAGGACCCGTAGCGGAAACGTGAATGCAAATGGGAACAGAAACCAACCCCCAGTGATTGAGCAAATACCAGTTGTGGAAGCAGCTGCCGGGCCAATAACGATGGCTGGAGTGCAAGCGATGATCCAGGCGATGTTGGATCGTCAAATGGAGGAAACCAGGCGTTTGCTCCAGCAAAATCGAGAGGAAGCGACCATACAGATCAAACAGGCCGAGTTGAATGAAGGGCAGACTGAGGAGGGAAACTACAGTGGGACTGTTGGTCAAGCCAACCCACCGATAGTTAGGCAAAACCACCAAGATGGAGGAAATGACGGACGTGGATGCAAATACAAGGATTTCATGGCATCCAAACCACCGAGTCTATCTGGAAGCCCGATGCTGGTGGAAGTCATGAACTGGATCTCTGAGATGGAGACGATGTTTGAGAGTTGCGAGTGTAGCAACAGGAAAAAGACCGCTCTCGTGGTTCCTCTGTTGAAATCTGGAGTACTAAGCTAGTGGAAGCTACTAGCTAATTCAATGCCCAAAGGTGAAGCAAGCAAGATATCGTGGGAGGATTTTCTGGTACAGTTAAAGATGCAATATTGCTCTGAGCAGGATCTTCTAGAGATCAACAACGAATTCCAGAATTTGAAGAAGGGAAGAATGAGCGTTACTGAATACACTACAAGCTTTACTGAGAAAATGAAGCTTGTTCCTCACCTCGTCCCAACTGAACTCTCCAAGGTTAACAAATTTTCCCTCGGATTACCAGCGGAATTCGGTCCAATGGTCAAGCAAACTACCACTCTGAAAGCCGCCATCTGGGCTGCTAAGAATGTGGAGACCCAGATACGAGAGAAGGGTCAGGAGAGAGCGGAGGTGGGAGAGAAAAGGAAGTTTGACGGATCCTCGAGGTCCGGAAAGAAGAGTAAATTCTCGAAATCTGGTTCGAGAGGAGGAGGACCAGAAGCGAAGTGGTGTGACAAGTGCAAGAAGAAGCACTCTTGGAAGTGTGACGGAGGGATCATTTGTTTCAAGTGTGGAAATCTTGGGCACTATGC